TCAGATTGGTTGGAGCTCAGTACAGTCTCTAACATTAACCTTCTCAGAACCATAATCTTACACAACAAGCAGAATCTGATAAGGCAAGTAACCTGCTTGTTTTTAACTGCCAACCCACTAGGTTTTTATAAGGTGAAAAAGCGTAAAATTTTTACTCATGTCAATAGGATCTCCCATATCATTCACTCACAGCAAAAACAGGACCAAAAATACGAAAACTCATTTTTTTCCACTCTGTAAAGCTGTTTTTTTCTCCTGCAGTTAAAATCCAACCTTGTTGCTTGTAGTGATGTACATCCTTATCTAATATTTTTCCCTCCCATTTATTCATACACGGATTGAGGGCATCGCTGGCTAGGCAGCATTTATTGCCTATCCCTAATTGCCCAGAGGGCAGTTAAAGGTCAACCACATTGCTGTAGGTCTGGAGTCACATGTAGGCCAGACCAGGTAAGGATGGCAGGCAGTTTCCTTCCCTAAAAGACATTAGTGAACCAGATGGGTTTTTCCAACAATGGACAATGAATTCCCGGTCATCATTAGGTTCTTAATTCCAGATATTTATTGAATTCAAATTCCACCATCTACCATAGTGGGATTTGAACCCAGGTCTCCAGAATGTTATCTGGGTCTCTGGATTAAAAGTCCAGCAATAATACCACTAGGCCATCGTCTCCTCTATCTCACAGAGACAATTCTAGGTTTGGATAAATTAGACAGGTTTAACTTTAGGTTATTGTCCATGATATAGATACATTCAGAGAAACTAACATGTTACATCTGTTCTTAGCATCATAATTACAAAGTATTGTAGCATAAATTATAATAAGGAATTATTTTACTTGATCATAAACTATAGTTCTTAAAGTGTTGTTCAAGAAACACACCGCAGAGAAAATATGTATAATAGACATCTGCTAAAGTACTTTTAATGGAGGAAACCATATCCAGTTGAATAGACTGCCAAACAACCACAGTTATTAGAAGGATTCCACAATTATTGATGCTTTAGAAATACGTCTTCATTCATTAATTTATTAAGGATAGTATTTTGGAAGCTTTCTCCTGTCCACAACAACGTTATTTTGACTATACAAATAGCCTGTGGCAGAGAAAGAGTTAAGTTTAAAATCTCCCAGAAGCTGAGTAGCCGCCAGCCACCTACATATGTACAGTGCTGATTCCCTTAGTCAAAGGTCATCAGATAAATGTTAGCTGTATTTGTGGTGTAAGAGTACATGGAGGCATAGAGAAATGTAGACAACAGAAAACTACTGTTTCATTCCCTCAGACCAGCTTTTAAGATGGCCTAAAGGAACTCAATTTGTTCAAAAAGTTTCAGAAAAGTTCAGATGCCTCATTAATGAAGGTCAAAGATCATAACTGTTGATTGTGCAGTAACATAGCACAGTACAGTGTTCTTTTTGTGTGAGAGTGCAAGGATACATTTGATTGTGGGTTAGATAAGTTATTGACTAAATTATATGCAAAAATTGAAATTATAGTAAGGACATTACAGCAGGAGATGACGCATCAACATAATACATTGCGCGTGATTGTTCATATCTTCTGATGGGAAGATAGCTATTGCAACAACAGTAATGTCAGGACCTTGCAGACATCCCGATGTTGTTGACCCCGTGGATATTTTCCTTGAAGTTGAACCTTCCAATGGTCAATTATAAGCACCTGGAAGCCTCCAATAAAGTCCCCAAACCTGATTCAGATTCGGACGCTTCGGAGCCTTTCCAGCTTTCCAACTGACTTAGTCAGTCATCCAAAAACAGTTAGAGGGATTATACGACCTATAACTTGTGGGTAGCTATTAAACTGACTCCCCTAACTCATTACTGACTATCCCCTCCCCAAATCCCCAAGGGAAACCAATCCCCTATCTCTGATCCACCCGCCAATATCTCACGACCAACACCACCCACCCCCCATCCCCTGACACTCCCAAAAATATGTTTGTAGTTTCAACACCATGCCACACTACTGCTAGCTGGTTAGATCCTGGCCTAGACTGCACTGCCTCAGCTGGGTAAGCTTCCTAGCCTCAAAGATCATACAGTTCTCTAGACAACTCCTTCAAAGATAAGCATTTGTTTCTGTCTTATTTGGGTCAGAAATAGAAATTCTGATCCCAGTCAGAAGATGTGAGTTAATAATAGTTATTACATTATTCCACTTCTTGTATAATATTGGCTTCTATCACTGCTACTTATCAAACTGATATTCCAAATATCTCTCAACTAAAAATAAATGCATTTGAACTATATAAAAACAAAAAGTGTTTTGGAGTAATTTAGCAGATCTGGCAGCATCTGTGGAGAGAGAAGCAGAGTTAGTGTTTCAAGTTCTTGATTATCAAGGGGATGAAAGATTGTCGGGGATCCTAGAATCCCTATAGTGTGGAAACAGACCATTCGGCGCAACAAGTCCATACTGACTCTTAGAAGAGCATCCCACCCCTCTACCTTATTCCTGTAATCCTTCATTTCCCATGGCTAATCCATCTAACCTACACATCGCTTGACACTATGGGCAATTTAGCATTGCCAATCTACCTAACCTGTGCATCTTTGGACTGTGGGAGGAAACCAAAGCACCCAGAGGGGACCCATACAGACATGGGAAGAATGTACAAACTTCATGCAGGCAATCACCCAAGGCTGGAATTGAAACAAGGTCCCTGGCACTGTGAGGCAGCAGTGTGAGCCACTGAGCTGCAGGAATATAGAGTTGAGGTTAAAATCAGATCAGCCTGATCTTACTGAATAGTGGAGCAGGCTCAAAAGTCTGAGTGGCCTACTTTTGTAACTTGTTTGTATATTCATGTATCCAGTATGATTCTCTTCAGAACAGGACTAAAAATGTTAACTGTTTCTTTCTCCACAGATGCTGCCAGATATGCTGAGTCCCTCCAACATTTTCTGTTTTTATTTCAGATTTCCAGCATCCATGGTATTTTGCTTTTATCCATTAAAAGTAAACTAGGGGATTTAAAAAGATGGTTTAAATGACTGGCTATTTCTAACAATTGCACTGTTTAATATAACATTAAATCTGGTAAATTAACAATTAACAGAAACTTCTATAAATGTAAGAATAAATTGTAGTTGCAAGACTGTACACTGAGGAAGGGAGTAATCCTATTTATGCTACACTTAACAGAGTCGACTTGTTTAGAAAATCTATAGTTTGAGGAATATGCATTAATAGGCTCACCTGAACGAGCATTTAATTTTTGCTGTAAGAGTAAACATACTGTCAAATCTTTTTGTTTTGCACTCATCAGGACAGAAACAAGAATACCAGATTTTAAAGGCAACAACAATTTATATTGTATGAGAAAAGAAATTTGTCGTCCTGATGATGATGATGATGAGTGCACAATAAAAAGGCTTCAATAGCATGCCTCTTTTTGAAGCAATATTCAAATTCTATGCTGATCAACTGTATGAGCACTAAATTGTTAATAAGTGTTTTCAATACAAAAAGTAGATGCCATGAAAAAATAGGAAAGGATTTTATGTGGTAAAAGGAAACTGCTCACAATGTCAGCTGGCATTGGGGCTTGCAAGGGAATTTGAATGATCAGTCAGGTGGTGGAAACATAGTCAATGGAGCAGGATGGAAGTTTGACAGACAGGAATTTAGAGGGCATGACAGAAGAGAAATGAAGGAAAGTAACAGGATTAGGGTGTCCTGTTGAATATTGGTGCCACAGTACATTGCGAGTAGATATCGTCTAGAAACTTGATCAAGTGGATGGCCTTTGTTGCGCTCGCCACACAGTATGTTTAGCCCATATATCCCGCAAAAGACTGTGAATCGACTCTTAATAGCAATATGAAATGATCTTTATTGGTTATAACACAATTAATACTATACCAAGGTTTATGCTACAAACTAACCATTAATAAGATAAATCTGAAAATTAATATTGTAAATCTAAGTCAGTATCTTGTACTTTAACTTAACTTGGAATGATCAAACACCACCGCACTAGACCTTGGCCTTAATCCACGTGGTGATGGTCATCTGGTCTTCCTCTTCTTATGGTAGTTGCTCTTGAGTTACCACTCCTGAGGGTACTGTTGCGGTGATTCTTATCCTTGGAAGCTTCCACACCCCTTTGGGAGGATCTTTGATTTCCACCAACAGGTCGATCAGGAATTGATTACCCTGATTGATCAGATCCAATCAGGCAGTACCATGCGGATAGTGGGGTGGTCTTTGGTCCTCCATTTCTGAAAGTGTCAGGGGCATGTAAATCAGGTAGGCTTCCCAGATAAGAGTGTGAGGTGTCCCTTTGTTCCGGAAACAGCTCGATATTTCCTATTATCCTGGTAAACAGGCTTAGTCAATTGTGTATTGTGCTGTCTGTAGCTGCAGCCTGCCTGTCTGGGTCTGCAGCTTGTTTATTTCAGTATCTTTCCGCAGATACTTTGGCCAATGCTTGTCCTTGATTTCCCAGCGTGCCTGGTGTGTTATCTGATTCTGCCATTTTGAGTGGCCTGCCCAGCTACATCTTGTCCCTGATGATGCTGAGCTTTCTGAATGTTGTTGGGGTTGCATCCATCCAGGTAAATGGCAAGTATTTCTGACTTTAGTCTGTTATCTTGTTAGCCTTGAAGTGTCAAGATGTGAACCACCCATTGGTCAGTATCCAAGCTCTACTTTATCCTTGTTGCCAAAATATTGGTATGAGTGGTCCAATGAAGCTTCTAGGTAGCTATTATCTCTGAGACGTAGATTTTTTGCGACTTACTCAAGACAGGGCTGTTCAAGATCATGGGGAGATAGCTGAGCCTTGTCTTGCTCAATATGGTTATGATGTCACTCTTAGGTGGAACAAATATCGCCTGACACTATTTGTGACACTTATTATTAATATGTTGTTATCTTTTTGTAAATAAGGTATCAATTACGTACCCAAGCAATTGATTTTCCCTGAAACATTTAAAATAAAATGTAATATGGTTTTATTGTTACAGTGGTCTTATGCACTTGAAAAGCCAAACACAGGAAGTGTGTTCAACATTGCTTGGTCGGTTGATGGCACTCAAATAGCTGGAGCTTGTGGTAACGGCCATGTGATCTTTGCCCATATCATAGAACAGCATTGGGAATGGAAGAACTTTGAAATCACATTGACCAAACGAAGATCTATGCAGGTATAGTTTCTTGAAAATCAAATCCAGTGGGACTAAATAATGAAAGGGATTTTTTTGATTTTCAGAGAAATGAATGAATTATACTTAAGGGAAAGGCTTGATTTCTTGTCAGTATTGTGGGGGCAATCTTCTTGTACTTTAAAAGCTTTGATTGAAAGGGTCCAATTACATGTGTGGTCATTGTGATCCTTGTTTTCCAAATGTTTAATCAATTAAGGGCCATATTTCTGTTCTCAATATTTGTTTAAGAACTTTTTTTACAATGGTATAAAATTGTTTTGCATTCTTTTTATGATTTTTATATAATAGGAAGAGAAAAATTACAAAGAAAAATCATTTTCATACGTTTTGCACACAATAACTTTGAAATGTTGCTCAGGGGAACCTTTCATTCCAATGTGTGTAAAATCTCTTCCCAGTGGCTAATACCCGGAGGTGCTGACAGTAAGATAGCTTTCCATTACTGTTTACTTACAGTTTTACTTATGTTGGTGAAGTGCACCTTGGCACTTTCTCCTATTTCTCCTTTTAAAATGTTAAAACCAAGAATTTTAAGTTTCAATAATAACATTCAAAAGAGAGTTAGACAAATATTTGAAAATAATTAGAGGCCTATGGGGAAAGAAAGGGGGTGAGTTTAATTATACAGCTCGACCAAAGAAATGCTATCAGAAATGCATGACGAGCCAAATGGTCTCCCTTTGTAGTGTATGCAAGGCCCTGATTCCAGTTATTAATTTTTAATTCTGCAGAGCTCAGATTTGATTGCAGTTATTTAGACATAATTTACAAGGGTTTGATGAAGTGACGTGAGAGGAGGCTCACATGGAGCATAAACACCAGCATAGGAGCAGAGGGCTTATGGTCTCTGTTGCATATTTTATGTCATTCTGCCTATCATTCCATGATTTAATAAATTGTGAAATGAAATTAACAATATATAACAATAGGTTTGAGGTTGGCACAGTGGCTCAGTGGTTAGCACTGCTGCCTTACATTGCCAGGGACCTGGGTTCCATTCTCGCCTGGGGTGATTGTCTCTGTGGAGTTTGTGCATTCTTTGTGGGTTTCCTCCAAGTGCTCCGGTTTCCTCCCACCTTCCAAAGATGTGCAGTTTAGGTGGATTGGCCACGCTAAATTGCCCATAGTATCCAAGGATGTGCTAGCTAGCTAGATTAGCCATGGAAAATGCAGGCTTACAGGGATAGAGTAGCAGGGTCGGTCTGGGTGGGATGCTGTTCAGAGGGTCAGTGTGGCCTGAGTGGTCTGATTCCACACTGTACGATTCTGCAATTCTATAATAGCCCTTCATGGCACTTGGAATATTGCTAATCAACACATGAACAGGCTAATCTATGGATTTTCTCCCTAGATTCAAAAGGAGTTAAAAAAACATCTATTGGCTAGGTATTACATCATTCTCACTGATAAATTGCAGTCCAGCAATTTTGGCTGCCACAGAAATAAAGGAACAAATCAGAAATGTAGCTGGATCCATGTTTCTGGCTATTCCCTGTAACTGATTTCACTTGACTAATTTGCTAAGAAAGAGACCCACTGAAAAATACATCTGCATGAAGAGAGAAAGCCATATGTATGGCCTGGAGTTGTCAATGAGACAGATTCTATGATATAAATGTTTAAAACATAAAATATTTTTGAAGTTAATAGTTACTGTATGGATGTAAATAAATTGTTCTTCAGAGATTTGCCTCTGCAGCTAACAGAAGTGGTCACAAGAGTGTCTATTCTACAGCCAATTTAAAGTTGTGGAAAAGTCAACAAAAAGGAAATATTTTTGTGTGGTCATGCTACATCCGGCAGTCATTTTAATCACACTCATCTTGATAAAAAAAAGTCACAAATTACTAAGTATGTGCATTCATCAAAATCAAATAAAAATGTTGATCAGTCACAAATTAACCATGTAATGCTTAATTTAGCTGAAATTGACTACAGCTTCTATGGTGTCACAGACTCCTTCCAATTCTATTTCAATCTCGTGACATTATCATCTTACAATGCCATTTGTAAGTCATTCTAATAATTCACTGATTTCTAATTTGATTTTGGTTTTGTCAGAGACATATGTGAAACAAAGAAGAATGTGCTGAAACATAGGAAAAAGAGTATGCCTTATATATTTCAATTTGATTGTGGCTCTCTGTTAACCTTAGGCATTATAGAAAGAGTTATTATTTTAGTTTTTGCAAACACATCCCTTGAAGAACAATATCTTGTAAATAAAAAATTGGAAAATATGCTTTTAAGTAATTAATTTGGATTGTGTTTTCTAACAGGTGCGAAATGTGTTGAATGATGCACTAGATGTTTTAGAATTCCGTGATCGGATAATAAAGGCCTCATTATCCCATGGTCATTTGGTTGTTGTGACTTCACTGCAGTGTTACGTGTATAGGTTAGTAAAATCTTTTCTTTGAAAATATGCAGCATCCTTTGGCAAATATGTTTTGGATATCTTGTCAATTTCATTTCTCTTACAGTAAATTTATATCTTAGTGATTCTATTATATGATAATAATGCAAAGAAGATGTGTAAAAATATACTTTCATAGAATCAGAGTTATTTTTGGCTCCATTCCTCTTGAGAAAACAACATGTTAAGCCAAATCTTTTAAAGTGAGTTTAACATTAGTTTGATATATGTTATGTATTAAATGAGTTACACATTCTGGTTTCTTTCATCTCAAAAATGTATAAATTTATATAGCATGCATTCTCTGTTTATTGTCTTTTATTTCAGTACAAAGAATTGGAATACTCCACTGATATTTGACTTAAAAGAAGGTACTGTTAGTTTAATTCTACAGGCAGAGAGGTAAGAGATTAGCATATAATATATATTCTTAATTAAATATAACTTCCACATACATAAGCAGAATTTTTATTTGTAGTTTGAATCTCAGTCAATTATGTGAAATTACTCTTCAGAACACAGAAAAATGCAATTACTATAATGCAAGCAATTAGCTAAACATTGAAAAATATTTTGCCATTAATGTGTTAAATATTACAGAAATTATTTCGAAAAGTTTCTAATTCTAGCACCTAAAATGTACAGGTAGAGTCTTACATTTATGTCATCTCTTAACATTTGATTTATGATTCAAGAGTATGATATTTGGTGTTATGTTCTCTCAGAATATTTGTAAGGTAACTGTTTGCTGCACAGTTTGAATTACAGACAATGCATTTCTTAGTTCAATGCAACTTTGGGAAAGAACTGCAAACATCTTGATTAGGAGCATGTCCTAATAAAGGTTAACTTTTCCCATTTACAGTTAAAATGTGGTGGCATCAACTGTGCCGTGGCCCAAGACAAGTTATCTTGTCTTGGGCTTTCAACTCACAAACTACGAGATGTTGCATGTTTTACTCGCTGAACCTTGTGGTGAGTGAGGTGGACATGCTTGTTGCCACCGGCACCTTTCAGCTTTCTCACCTCTGTCACCATATTTAAAGCCCAGCTGCACACCACTTCAGATACTGTAATCTAGGAATAACCCCTCATACTGTAGTGGTTATGCCTAAACTTTGAAAATATGACATAAAGGAAAACAAGATCATTCCCTGATTCCTGGAGAATGATGCTGTCTCAGTGGGAGGAACTTCCAGGATTTTGATCCAGCGACACTGCAGAAATGGTGATACATTTTCAAGACTGGATGATGAGTAGCTTGGAGGGAAACCTCCAGGTGGTAGTGTTCCAATGAGAAATTGATGTTCCCCAGTCCGATTACATTCTGTGTCATTGCTACCTTGAGTGCTCAACATGTAGGAATACTGATTCATTAGCTGAGGGTGCGTGTGGTACATGATAATCAGCAGGAGATTTTCTTCTCCATGTTTGACCTGATACCATGAGACTACAAGGTCTGCAGTCAATGTTGAGGAGTTCAAAGCACTCCCTTCTTGTCTATAAACCTCAGTTCAATCTGTCCTATTGGTGGGACATGATGCACCCAGGAATGGTGACGGTGTTGTCTTAAGACATGGTCTGTGGGGTATGATGCCATGAGTATGACTATACCAGGCTGTATGTGAACAGCCTGAAACTCAGAAAGACAACTTTCCCAATTATTGCACTAGCACCCAGATGTTGGTCAGGAGGACACGGCAGGATGAACAGGGCTGAATCTACTGTTGCCATTTCCAGTGCCTAGTTCATTGTTAGGTGTCCCATCCATTTTCTTTTCTTTATTTGAAGCTTTTTAGTGGTTTGCTACAACTGAGTGGCTTGCTAAACCAATTCAAAACCATTCAAGAGTCAGCCACATTGTTGTTGGTCTTGAGTCACGTGCAGGCCAGGCCAAATCAGGTAAGGGTGGCAGATTTTCTTCCCTAAAGGGCATTTATGAACCAGGTGGTCTTTATGACAACCCACAATCATTAGACTTTTAATTCCAGATGTAATTGAATTCCAATCCCATCATCTGCCATGGTAGGATTCAAACCCAGGCACCTGGAACATTTCCTTGATCTCTGGAGTGCTAATTCAGCGACAATAAAACTACACCATTCCCTCCATCCTTCACATTCCTTTTTGTGTTGCCATCCTAGGGGCCCCAATCACCTTTTAGTCCACCCAGTTTTGCTTGAGCCCCTGCACATAACAATCAATATGCCCTCATTACCTCCAGAGCTCAAAACTCTGGAGATCCCTATTCCTTTGTTGGCAGTAAACCGTCCCATGTGAGTTCCAAGTAATCATGACCTGCTTCAAACCCAACTTCAAGAGCTCCCAGAACCCTCTCATTCACTGTGAGGTCCCATCTTAGCAAATGCATCGGCTCCTGTCACAGTGTCCATCCCCTCAATGACAAGTACAAAAAAGCCCATCGCAGACTTGGGAATGCTTTCCTCAGAATTCCATCGATTGGTAACTGATATTATAAACCCCCACGGCTGACCACAGTCCACCCCCGACTGATGTCTCAGCAGCACCCCACTTAAAATACATGTAGTCCCCAAACTGCTTGCACTTGACCTGGAGGACTGACTGTAATCCAATTCCCAGACTGTAAGGACACAGATCCTCGAACTCTGGTAGAATAAAGTGCCTGACTGTTGGTGACCAACCTCTGGACTGTAATCAGACAACTGCAACCCCCTTCACCTCCTCCTAACCACTCTTCCCATATGACTTTCACGCATTACTATTGGCCTGTAGCACATGCAATGTATTTGGCAAGTGAGTCGCTGGCACCTGCTGTAGCTGCGATGTTGACGTTGCACAGCGTCATACGTCAAAATGTTGACCCCTTTTCTGACTGACATGTTTGCTGTTCTATGGTCCCCACTGTCACAAGGTGCCTGCCTCTCCTTCTGCACTGAAAAACACCCTAAATGGCAGAGGCTGCCAACCTGAAACTCAGCACACAAAACCTTGAGTCATTAAGTAAAACGCCATGTCACCTGCAAAAGTTAAATGCCTCCAAGTAAGAGCTAAAGTCGATTTGCACTAAAAAGCAAAAATGCGTACCTCCATGTCAGCACAGAACCATCCTGTCTGGATCCATGAGCTGTCCCTAAGCGCAAAATAACCTGACAAAAGCCTGCAAATCTTAGGTCTGTCTCACCTCCAAAGTAGACAATTGAAGCCCTGAAATGGTGGATGAGTAAAACTGAGAACAAGCTTGATTCTGTTGTGAGGCTAGTGCTTTACTGGTGCTGATTTACATGGATGAAGGGTTGAGGAGAGTAGTAGCCATGCATTGTGCAGGGATCTTGTGCTGAAGAAGCTGTTCCACGTAGAGAAGGTTGAAGTCTGGCACAGACATTCCACGAGCTGCAATGGACAATGAGAGACACGTCGGCAGGTACTCACTCTGATTTACCTGCTGAGTTTTAGTACTGTTAAGGTTCTTGTGGAAGAAAGGAGAATTGGAAATGCAACATTAAGGTGATGAGTTGAGGCACAAATAAGATGCAGATACATGGAAATAATCCTGTCGCTTAAGGATGGGATTCTAAGCATGGCATTTAAGGCTTGAGGGGAAAATCAAACATGTTGTTTTTGTTATTGAAAGTAAGATATTTTCATTCTTACCCCATTTCGTCACCTCCCCTGCAATGCCTCACTGCACCAGGGTGTGGAAATTTCTACCCTGAGAATCTAATAAGAAAGCAGCTTACAAAATGGTAGAATTAATAAATCATTTTTTAAAAGCTTAATTGTGGCATGTTGTAACTCATTAGTACTAATTTATAGTTTGACTGAAAACATCAATTAGTTGTTACTTTTCAAAATGCCCAAAGCTTCTGTAACTTTATTTATCATGTTTGATTCAGAGGTGAAAATGAAAATAAAGAATGAAAATTGTTCTATACTTCTGTATATTTAACGTTAAAAAAAATTTAAATAACTCTGATTGCTTTCACTAACCTCTTCACTGATAGTGTGCATTTATTTATTCAGACATTTTCTGCTGCTTGACGGAGCGGGAATTTATTTGTATTCGTATGAGGGTCGCCTTATTTCTTCTCCAAAGTTCCCAGGGATGAGAACGGACATACTGAGCTCACAGACCGTTTCACTCAGCAATGATACAATTGCAGTGAGAGATAAGGCTGATGATAAAGGTATTATGGAAAAGATCTCATTTTGGCAAAGAAAATACCTACTTACCAGATTTCATTATTGTTTAACACAAACATAATGCATTGCACGGTATTAGTCCTTTATGCAACACATGTATATGCAAAATGTTGTCCCATCCTTAATGCACACACCCTAAATTATACAATCCTAAGGAATCTCTAAATATTCTATAGTTACTGTAGTCAACATATATTTTTGTGCAAAGTCAAAACTTTTCAATTGAATATTGTAGAACATGGAATTTTTCTTTCCTCTTTGAAACCCTCTGTGCCATTGGGCAGCACAATGGCTCAGTGATTAGCACTGTTGTCTCACAATGCCAGGGATCCAGGTTCAATTCCAGCCTTGGGTGACTGTCTGGAGTTTGCACATTCTCACCGTATTTGAGGGTTTCCTCTGGGTGCTCCGGTTTCTTCCCACTGTCCAGCAGTGTGTGGCTTAGGTGGATTGGCCATGCTAAATTGCCCATCATGTCCATGGATGTGCAGACTAGGTGGATTAGCCATAGTAAATGTGGGGTTGCGGGGATAGGGTAGGGGTGGGTGTGGAAGGGAGGCTTTTTGGGGGGCCAGTGTGGATTCAATGGGTTGAATGGCCTGCTTCCACACTGCCAGGCATTCTATGAGTTAGAATAATATCTTTACCTCCTTTATTTTGTGTGATATTAAGCCTAATTATAATCAATCGAGTTATTTTGAGTATTTCTTTAACCACTCTGCATTTAATGTTTTCCTTGTCACTGGGGCTTCAGCTAGCATGATTCAAGCTCTGCAATTACCCTTCCTTCATTTTAGCAACTATTTTAGAGAATGCAACTATGCCCAGAAATACCCTTTTCTTTACTAAGATTATAAATATACAAGAATATTCTCCTTTACAGGTCAGAGGAACAAATCGATCAGTTAAGATGCATAACCAGGCACCTATGCTGGCAAAGTATACTAAAGAGTGAAACTATATAAAAACCGAAAGAATTGCAGATGCTGTAAATCAGGAACAAAAACAGAAGTTGCTGGAAAAGCTCAGCAGGTCTGGCAGCATCTGTGAGGAAAAAATCAGAGGTAACATTTCAGAACTGAGGAAGGGTCACCGGATCCGAAACGTTAACTCTGATTTTCTCTTCACAGATGCTGCCAGACCTGCTGAACTTTTTCAGCAACTTCTTTTTTTGTTCCTGATTTACAGCATCCGTAGTTCTTTTGATTTTTATTTAGGCCATTTTGTTCCTTGAGCCTGTTGTGCCATTCAGTAAGATAATAGCTTATCTGATCTTGGCCTTTACATCCATTTTCCTGTCTTTGCCACATTAATCTTGACTCTCGTGTAATTAATAAAAGAATTACCTAATTTGGCCTTGAATGTATGTAATATTTGAGCGTACAGTGCTCCTTAGGGTAGAGAATTCCAAACATTTGTGAACATCCAAAAAGATATTCCTCCATATCTGCTCCAAGTGTTGTTCACTGCTTGACCCAGGGACCTGTCCTCCATTCTTTTAAATGGAAATGTCAAGAACCCCCCACCTCCAATTCCCAACACTCCTGGAATTAGGACAGCATCAGGTTAAGCCCAGAACAAAACTCACTCTATCCTTTTAAAACAGAAAAGTAAAAGTTTCCCCGACTTATGAACCAATATGAAACTGCAGTGGCTCTGGACAGAGAAAAACAACAAATAAGAAAACTAAAATGGCTTTTCTCGACTCTGCCATCAAAAATTGTGAAGGAGTCAAGGAAATAAAAGGTTTCTTGTATTATTATATCAAAGTGACTTTGCCAGTTTCTAAGGCTACTCTGGTGATGGAAGATTTATCCCCAAATGACTTTTAAAGAGTAACTGAGGTTAGGCTGATTAAATTGGCTTAGAAGTTATGGTTAGAGTTAAAAGTGTGGCCTAAGAAAGCACACGTAATTGAAATAATAGCACAATATTTGAAATTGAAAGAACAGCAATGCAAAGCACATAGTGAGACAGTTGAGTTAGCAAGCATTCAATTATACAGATAAAGCAGCTAAAAACAGAAAAGGAAGTGGAAATATAAAAAAAAAACTTGAACTTGAGAAAAAAGGAGAATGAGCATTTTAGGGCTCGGAGAAAGTAAGGGAAAGAGCATTTTAGATAAAAACCTCTTACTTTGGGGAACATTCTTACAAGGGATGACATAATTTTAATACAAAACCCAGCAGGGCGCTGTTTAAATTTTGCAAACCCTTACAAAATCTGTGAAAGGGGCACTGAGGCATTTTTCATTTATTTTGAAGTTAGCTAAGATGTTGAGGTGGCCAAAAGAAAACTAGTCAATGCTCATACAAAGCAGGCTGATGGGAAGAGTGCATTAAGTTTTATTCCATGCTTTCTGAGCAAGTTTCTGTAGATTATCAGGTGTCGACCAAGCCTATTCTTGGTACATTGCATGAATTTGTCCTGATACTTAAGGGCAGAAATTTCAGAATATCAGGAAGCAATCTGTGCAAACTTGTAAAGAGTTTGAGAGGGTAAAATAACTTGGGGTGTTGGATACGGGCATTAAAAGTAGTGACTAAATATGATACCCTTTGGGAAGTAATTCTCTTGGAAAAAATTAAAAATTCAGTTCCTTCATACGGAGGGCGCTCACATAGAAAACCTGAAGCTTGTGACATCAAGGTAGGCAGCTGAGATGACTGACAATTAAGATCTGATCCACAAATCCAAAACTATTTTTCTGCACAAACCTCAGAAGTTTAGAAGGTAAAACAAAGGGAAGAAGTCAGGGTTGGGAAGGGACAACTGGGAAAGCCAGAGAATCTCCTCCTCAGGCCAAACGGAAAGTGCTGAGGGTGGAAGTGATAGCTGATGGCCCACGTTTTTCTATTGTTACAAGACACCTTAATGCAGATTTCTGGAAGTTTTGGGGTAGATCTGGAGGGGTACTAAAGGTCAGTTAGTTCAAATGGCTAGATGGCTAGTTGGTAATGCAGAGTGACGCCAGCAGCGTGTATTCAGTTCCTACATTGGCTAAGGCTACCATGAAAGACTCCTTCTCAGCCTGAGGCATGGTGACTCTCAGGTTAAACCACCACCAGTCATCTCTATTGAATGAGAGAACAGCCCTATGGTCTGGTAAGACTATGATGACTTTACCTTACCTTTACTCCCAGGGAATAATTTGCCAGGATTGAAGGTTGCAGCTTCTCCAGTAATAACGGTAAGGCGAAGTGAAGGAAACCGAGAATTTACAGGAAAGGGTTCCTGGGATTTTTTCTTCATGTGCAGTGATGCAAGCAGTGGCTAAATAAAGCCTATCATTACAGATCAGATTGGTTCCAAAGCCAGATATTTGGTTATCTGAAACTTTCTTTGGGGATTTAGATAATCCAAAGGAAGAGCTTAATAAGCCTTCTTTGACAAGGATCAGCAAGCGGTCCAGAATTATGTAAAGTATCCCAATTGAGTCAAACTGAAGTTGAAACAAAAAGCATTCCAGAATGTTGCTACATGAGAAATGGGACTTTGACGAGAAAGTGGAGACCTCCTCACAGACCAGTGAATAAAGAATTGATAGTGGTTCACCAGATCATGGTATCACCCAAATATCACTAAAAAATATTAAAATATTTTAAGATTGTTGGAAGCTGCAGTGTAAATCAGGTTACAGGAAGAAGCCTTGACTGAAAGTGCAATAGACCAGGTTGTAGCTCTGAAATTCTTATGGGTGGACATGTGGGTGCATAAAGGACCCAAGCATTTATAAGTTAACATTTTTACTGGCCGTGTCTTTACAAAGACATGGTGCAGTTTTATAAAACATGCCACACGTGCCAGGTGATGGGAAAACCATGTCAAACAGTCAAACTGTCCCGTTTAATTCCCATACCAGTTTTTGAGGAACCATTTAGTAGGGTATTGGTGGATTTTGTTGGATCTTTAACAAACCAGGACACCATTATATCTTTGCTATCACGGATATGGCTCTTCAATTCCCAAGTGCCATACTTTTAAGTACTATCACTATTGATGTAGTGGGATGGAACTTAACCCAGTTTTTCACTGCATAGTTTGAATGGAAATCTGGTCAGATCAAGATTTCAATATCATGTCTAATACTTTTCAGGAAGTTATGAGTAGTCTGGATATAACATAGTTAAAGTCTTCAACATACTGCCCACAGACACGAGGAATTTTAGAAAGATACCATCAAACCTTCAAGATAATGGAAAGAATATGAATATTTCCATTATTGGAATAAAGGACTTGAAGTTATTTTGTCTGCCACTAGAGATTTACCTAATGAGTCCTTTTGAATTAGTTTGTGACCATGAAACAAGAAGAACCACCAAAACTAATCAAAGAAAAGTTTTTAGAACTGAAGGATGAGTTGTTCATGTTAAATTATGTATGTCTTTGAGGAGTAGTTGACAGCAGCTTGCAAAGTAGCTCAAGAAAAACCTTAGAGCATCGCAACAGTCATGAAACAATGAGCCAACGAGCTTGCTAAATCTTGAACATTCAATCAGGGGATGAGGTTTTATATTACTGACTTTAAAAGGGAACAGTTGAAGTGAAAAGGATTGGTAAAGTAAATTATTTAATTTACAACCTCAATCTCTAGAAAGAGAATGCAAGAATAGATTAGAGAAACTGGGATTGTTTTTCTTGGATAAGCAAAGGTTAAGAGGGGATTAGATAGAGGAATGCAAAATCATGAAGAAGTTGACAAGAAAGAACTATTCCCATTGATGAAAGGTCTGAGGGCAAGAGGGCATTTTAAGATAGTTGGCAAAAGAAGCAATGGAGACAGGAGGAAAATCTTTTTTGGGCGGCATGTATTTGGGATGTAGAACACAGTGCCTGAGAATGTGGTAGGGCAGGTTGAATCAAGGCATTCAAAGAGAAATTGGATTGTCATCTGAAAAATGCTTAAGGCTATGGGAGAAGACAGGAGAATAGCAAGACAAATTGTTCCTTTGGAAAAGTAGCATGGACATAGTGGGCCGAATGGCCTTCTTTACATCATATCCAGTACTGTGATTCTTGTTTACTATGTTTTAAATAGTTTATGACAGAATCTTCATGGAATGAATTGAGCTCCATTTTCTTTGAATTTTGCTGTGGCTGAAGCTAGTGGGGGTAATAGCATGTCAGTTGTTAAAGTTCATGGTAATGGTTTATGAAAATCACTTGTGAAAATCTCAGGGAAGATAGATGAAGGGCTGATTTCAACTGCCATCAGAGAACAGGTGTGCAATTAAGACATTTCTGATTCTGTTGGATACGACAAAAAAAATTCCTGGGCTATTGTTGGAGAAGCTTCCGATGGACACTAATTCAAATGACTGGCACGTGCATCATTCAGGCTCTGGCCACTTTTACCTCAAAATTGTCATCAGGGTCCTATGCACACCAGTGAACTTGGATATGTTCCATCTTTTGAGGTTTCAGCTGCTTCATGTGGTATCAGAAGTTCCCAGGCAAACAAGGCATCAGTGTCGATCAATAAGCCCAGACCACAAGCTAGCGCCAATTTCATATGTGCACCTGTGCCTTTTCAACATCGGCTTTTCAGCCATTAAAAGAATTGCAGCAGATGATCGCAACTAACCTCCCCAAAGTTCTAAGACTGCATTTCCCATTATCTGTCATCTGTGGCATGATGCCAGTCAGCTCACCACCTGATTCAGGTTGGTGTCTAGGATACCCTGGTGTAGGTCATTTGTAAAATTGTGAAATTTGGGATTGGATTAGGAGTGGTGCAGCAAAGGTCACTGGACCAATTTATTAATGAGTCTTGTGATCTTTGGTGGGGAAAGTATTATATGTGCATGGAGGCTATTTTTCAGTACTTCACACACAGAGCTTCTCTGTCCGCATAATTATTAACTACAAGTAAATACTCTAGAGAAGGTGAAAAGCAATATAACAGAAAAAGAAAAATTAGCAACATGTATGTGTTCATAGAGTTTTATTTGTTTCATGTTATGGCCTGCACTGACTCTTATGCAGTTTATTTCACCAGTTCAATCAAAGAATATTTTCTATTTCTTTAGATGAATGCGAAATGTAAAATTTATGAAGTTTATTTGTTTTGTGAGTTATGAGATCTTTTTGTTAAGTATTCCATTATGTAACAAAAATAAAATATGCTAGAAATACTCAGAAGATCTGACAGCATTGGTGAAAAGAGAAAAAAGACTTAATATTCATGTCAATGATCTTAAGGAACATAGACATCTAACAATTTATGAACAAGTGAAAAGGTGTTGGGAGGGCTTGGGGGTAACAAAATGGAAAGTTTCTTCCAGTATATATCCTGTAATATATTTATAGTATATAATATATTTATCCTTGCAAGTGTATTAATTTATTTATTGCCATATATTTTGTGATCTTGTTTCAGTAATTTATCTTATTGATGCAATCTCTGGAAAGCCCCTTGGTGATGGAAAACCTCTTGTTCACAAGGTATTTTGTTGTGACAAATAGAAATCGATCTCCCAGACTTTATTTTCACTATATTGTTCTGTTTTGTTCACGTAAAATTGGCATTGTACCAAGATACACTGTTCAACAAACAAGTGTCAATAGGTTAGTGAGGAACAAAGTATCATTGATGCATACAATGGTGTAACTTTACAGAATATATCTACAATGAAACAAAGGACACGGGAGAAGAAGCCTTTTGGCTTTTCAAGACTGTTCCTTCATTCAATAAAATCTTGGTTGATCTCGTTGTACTGTCACATCCACTTTCTGGTTTGCCACCTATAATCCTTGACTCTCTTGTCTATCAAAAATCTCTCAAATTGTGCCTTTATTGCTTTTAGTGAAGAGCTTTGAGAGAAAAAAAATCTTCTCATCTTCATCTTAAAAGGGTGATCTTTTATTCATAAGTTGTATCCCCTAGTTGTAGGCTTCCCCACAAAGGAAAATATGCTCCAGGATTTTCCATTTTCATCAGTGGTCTCCCTCACTTGCTGAAAAGTTGGCGAGACATCTGACCTGTCATTTCAAAGTAAGATCCTCCATAGCTTCCTCCAATCAGGCAGTTTGTAGGGCAGCAACAGGTCTTTCTCTGAAATGAATTCTCTGGAAATTGAAATGCTAGCCTATGAGAACCAGCAGCTCATGTGCTCGTAAACCATAAAAGTCATGGTTACTGCTGGGGAAGAATTACTGGCATGAGGACAAGGTACCAACTAAATGCTTTTTGGCTGAATTGGGATTGGGGAACGTGAGGAGAGAAGGGTAAGAGGGGTTGGATGCAAGTGCAAAGGAGTTCAACAACCACCCACTTGGTCTATGTCCAATCCCTCAATCATGCACAAATCAGTGCAGATCAATGGAACTCCTATTAGCCATCTCCATTGTCCTATTAATGGTGGCAAGCTGGCTGTTTTTTCTACCAGCCCAGTCAGTTGGTAGCTGTAGTGTCTCTGTGTAAATACACCTACAGTGCTGTTAGGTCTGGAGTTCCAGTATTTTGACCCAGGTTCAATGAAGGAACGATGATATGTTTCCCAGTCAGGATAGTGTATCACTTGGAGGTAAATTTGCAGGTTGTTGTGTTCCCATGTCTTTCTATCTTGTCCAGCTAGATGGTAAGGTTGTGGGGTTGGTTGTTGTTGTCTAAAGAGCCTTAGTAGTTAAAGCAGTACATTTAATAGATAGTACATCCTGCTGGCATTTTACAACGGTAGTGGGGGGGGGGAATTAAATATCGAAAGTGGTGGATAGGGTGCCAATCAAGAGGGCTGCTTTGTCCTAAATAGTGTAAAGCTTCTTGAGTGTTTTTACAGTTGCACTCTTCCAAGCAGATGGAACATATTCCATCACATTCTTGACTTTTAATTGTCTTCTTTTGAAACTATAAGGGCCATTCAATTTGCACCTGGAAAACCAATCTGCATTTTTAAGTAACATGTAAGACATTTTGACCTGAATTCTTACTTTCAAGTCAAGAGCAATGCATTGGAAAAATCACCAGCTCCACAAGCCTGACAAACAAGAAAGTGGCCCAGTTGGTTGAATTTTCTTTCTGGGATGGTGGGGGTGTTTAATGGAATTAGACTGGAAGAATTCAGAGACAACCACTGAGGCTACTGGTTGTGGAGATGCCCTGTGGGAAAGGCCTGCCTTGGTGATTTGGTTGCACAATCAAGCCATCCACCACAAATCCTATCAGACAGACTTCAGACATATGTCTACAGGCAGATGAAATGGAAAGTGTTGGTAATTTTTAGTACTGCAGGCAGTTTTTCCAAAAAAACAAAACCAACAAATTCAAATGCCTTGAAAGCTTTCAGAGTTCCCTTGAGATCTTAACAGTTCCAAAGTGCTTGGTAATTCTAATGAGTGTATCTAGTTTTTATGTATTCAAGCGTATGAATTAGAAGGAGGTATGAACCACTTGGACCCTTAGCTTGCTCCGCCGTAACATCATGCCCAATCTGATTGCACGACATTCTCAATAGCCTTTCACTATCTTGCTTATGCAGAATCAATTTATCTCTGCCTTAAAAATATTCAAAGACTCTGTTTCCACCACCTTTTGAGGAAGAGAGTTCCAAACACTCATGGTGCTGTGTGAGAAAATAAAATTCTTGTCATCTCTGTCTTAAATGAGCATTCCCTTAGTTTTAAACAGTCTCTGTTAATTCTAGATTTTCCTACAAGAAGAAACATCCTTTCAACATCTACCCTGTCAGGACCAATAAGGATCTTATATGTTTCAATCAAGTCAACTCTTACTCTCCACCAGGTACAGGTCTGATCTGGTCCTCATAAGACAAGCCATCCATTCCAGATATAAGTTTAGTAAACCTTCCCTGAATTGCTTTCAATGTTTTTTCATCCCTCCTTAAATAGGGAGACCAATACAATGTACAGTACTCCAAATATGGTGTCACCAAAACTCTATATAACTGAAGCAAAACCCCCCCAATTTTCATATTCAATTCCAATCACATTTGACATTGACATTCAGTTGAGTTTCCTAAATTGCTTTGTGTACCTGCTCACTAACCTTTTGCGATTTGTGCATTAGTATACCCAGATTCTTTTATATATCACAGCTCTGCAATCTCTCATCATTTAAATATGCTTTCACTTATTCTTCCTGCGGAAATGGATAATTTCAGGTGTTCCCATAGTATACTATTTTTGACAGATCTCTGCCTATTCCCTTAATTTAACAATATTCCTTTGTATCTTCCTTAGGCCCTCTTCTCAAGTTACTTTCTCATCTATATTTGCATCGTCCGTAAATTTAGCAACCATATTGTCAGTCTCTTCATCAAAATTGGTTTTAAAAATTGTTAACAGTTGAGGCCACAGTACTGATTTATATAGCACACCACACATTACATCTGCAATAAAGCAACTGAAGATGCTGGAGTGCTGAAAAAAAAAGGCAAAACTCAGCAGTCAGCCAGCATTTGTGGGGAAAAGCAGAGTTAATGTTTCAAATCTGGTGATTCTTTGCCCAGATCTTGCTTAGCAGAAGATGAAACGTTGATGTTTGAAAACAGAAGTTGCTGGAAAAGGACGTTGGATGTTGAACAGTTTTTCCACCGCCTCCGCCTCTGTGATTACTTCTTTAATCGTGAGCCTAACCCCCCCTCTAATGACCCCTTCTCCTGCCTCCAACACACCCCCTCCTCCTGGACACCACCCCAAGGCCTCCTACCCTCCCTCAACCTCTTCATCTCCAACTACCGTCGAGACATCAATTGCCTCAACCTCTCCACCCCTCTCACCCACTCCAACCTCTCCCCCACAGAACGGGCAGCCCTCTGCTCCCTCCGCTCCAATCCCAAGCTCACTGTAAAACCCGCGGACAAGGGAGGCGCAGTTGTAGTATGGCGCACTGACCTCTACATCGCCGAGGCCAGACGCCAGCTCTCTGACACCTCCTCCTACCGCCCACTTGATCATGATCCCACCCCTGACCACCAAACCGTCATCTCCCAGACCATCCACAACCTCATCACTTCAGGTGACCTCCCTCATCGTTCCCCAACCCCGCACCGCCCGTTTCTATCTCCTTCCCAAAATCCACAATCTGACTGCCCTGGTCGACCCATTGTCTCTGCCTGCTCCTGCCGCACCAAACTCATCTCCACTTATCTCGACTCCATTTTCTCCCGCTTGGTCGAGGAACTCCCCACCTACGTCCATGACATCACCCACGTCCTCCACCTCCTCCAAAACTTCCGATTCCCTGGTCCCCAGCACTTCATCTTTACCATGGACATCCAGTCCCTATACACCTGCATTCCCCATGCAGATGGCCTAAAGGCCCTCCGCTTCTTCCTGTCCCACAGGCCCAACCAGTCCCCCTCCACTGACACCCTCATCCGCTTAGCCAAACTCGTCCTCACCCTTAACAACTTCTCCTTCAATTCCTCCTACTTCCTACAGACAAAGGGGGTGGCCATGGGTACCCGCATGGGCCCAAGCTATGCCTGCCTCTTTGTAGGATACGTGGAACAATCCCTCTTCCAAAGCTACACTGGCCCTATCCCCCACCTCTTCCTACGTTACATTGATGACTGTATCGGCGCCGCCTCGTGCTCCCACAAGGAGCTTGAACAGTTCATCCACTTCACTAACACCTTCCACCCCAACCTTAAGTTCACCTGGACCATCTCTGATACCTCTCTCTCCTTCCTGGACCTCTCTGTCTCCATCTCTGGCATCCACCTGGAAACCGATATCCATTTCAAGCCTACCGACTCCCACAGCTACCTAGAATACACCTCCTCTCACCCATCTTCCTGCAAAGATGCCATCCCCTATTCCCAATTCCTTCGCCTCCGCTGCATCTGCTCTCAAGATGAGGCATTCCACTCCCAGACACCCCAGGTGTCCTCGTTTTTCAAGGACCGCAACTTCCCCTCCACAGTGGTTGAAAACGTCTCGACCGTGTCTCTCGCATTTCCTGCAACTCATCCCTCACACCCCCTACCCGCAAAAGCAACCAAAAAAGAATCCCCCTCGTCCTCACGTACCACCCCACCAACCTCCGAATGCAACGCATCATCCTCCGACACTTCCGCCATCTGCAATCCGACCCCACTACCAAAGACATTTTTCCCTCCCCACCCTTATCTACTTTCCGGAGGGACCACTCTCTCCGTGACTCCCTTGTCCGCTCCATACTCCCCACCAGCCCCACCATCCCCGGCACTTTTCCCTGCAACCGCAGGAAGTGCTACACCTGCCCCTACACCTCCCCCCTCACCCCCATCCCAGGCCCCAAGAAGACCTTCCACATCAAACAGGTATTCACCTGCACATCTGCTAATGTGGTATACTGTATCCGCTGTTCCCATTGTGGCCTCCTCTACATCGGGGAAACCAAGCGGGGACCACTTTGTGGAACACCTGCGCTCGGTTTACAACAAACAACTGGACCTCCCAGTCGCGAACGATTTCAACTCCCCCTCACACTCCTCAGACGA